AAAAACCCTTGAGCACCTAGGTACAAAGGAAACAATCTTCAAAACAGTAAGAGTCATCTATGATAACCCCACAGTCAACTTTTTGCTCCATGGGTAGAAGCTGGAAGCATTCCCCCTAAGAACGTGGACAAGGATGCCCCCGCTCACGCCTCCTGTTCAACATTGTGGTGGAATTCCTAACCAGAGCAATCGGGCAAGAAAAGGAAATCAGGGATATCCAAATAGGAAAAGAGGAAGTTAAGCTACCCTTCTTTGTGGACAATACGATTCTATACCTTGAAAATTCTAGGCAGTCTATCAAAAGCCTCCATGAACTGATAAAGGACATTGGTAAAGTTTTAGGTTACAAAATCCGATGTGCAAGACAGTTGAATTTCTATACACCAGCAACAAGCAGACAGAGATCCAAATAAAAAGTATAATACCATTCACAATAGCCCCCAAAATGAAATACCTTGGCAACCACCTAACCAAAGAAGTGAAAGATTGTTACAATGAGAACTACAAAACACTGCTCAAAGAAATCAAGGATGACACAAACAAATGGAAAACATTCCTTGCTCATGGATTGGAAGAGACAATATTGTCAAGATGTCCATTCTACCCAACAGCAATCTACAGATTCAATGCAATATCCCTCAAATTACCAGCACCATTATTTTCAGACCTGAAAACAATACAGAAATTCATATGGAAAAAGAGAAGAGCGTGAATAGCCAAAACAATCTTCAGCAAAAGGAACAAAGTGGGAGGTATCACACTTCTCGTCTTTGAAGTTCATTGCAAGGCTATAGTAAACGAAACAGCCTGGTATTGGTATAGAAATAGGCACATAGACTAATGGAACAGGACAGAGATTCTGAAAGCAAAAATACAGTCTCTCAACCAACTTATATTCTACAAAGCTACCAATAACAATCACTGGGGAAAGAAGACCATATTTAGCAAATGGTACTGGGAAAACTGGCTGACCACATGCAGAAAAACTGGACCCCTACTTATCACCATATACAAAAATCAACTCAAAATGAAACAAAGGCCTAAATGTAAAACCTCAAGCTATAAGCATCTTAGAAGAAAACTTAGGATACACCTTTATGCACATTGGAGTAGGCAACAAATTCTAGACCAAGTCCCCAAAAGTGAATGTCATAAAAGCTAAAAATAGACAAGCGAGACCTCATCAAACTGAAAAGCTTTTGCACAGCAAAATAAATCATGAAGAGAGTAGAGACAGCTCACAGAATGGGAAAAAATATTTTCAAATTATGCATCTGAAAAAGGTCTAACATCCAGGATCTACAAGAAACTCAAACGAAGTGAAAGGAACAAAACAAACAATGCCACTAAAAAGTAGGCAAGGGAATGAATAGACACTTCTCAAAAGACATGTGAGCATCCAATAGACACATGAAATATCTCAGCCTCACTGATCATCAGAAAAATGCAAATCAAAACTACAATGAGATACCACCTAATTCTGGTAAAGATAGCTATCATTAATAAGTCAAAAAACAACAAATGCTCTATGGATGGGGAGGAAAGGAATCACTTCCACATTATTGATAGAAGTGCAAACTAGTTCAACCTCTATGGAAAGCAGTGCAGAGATTCCTACAAAAACTAAAAATTGACCTTGCATACTATCCAGCAATCCCTTTCCTGGGAATATACCCATAGGAACGTAAATTTGTTCTACTAAAAAGACACCTGCACATGCATGTTTATTGCCACACTATTCACAATAGCAAAAACATGGAACCAACTCTACTGCCCATCAAAATTGAACCGAGTAAGAAAATGTGGTACGTATATATGATGAAGTATAATGCAGCCATGAAGAAAAACAACATCATGAACTTCACAGCAAATTGGATTGAGTTAAAGACCATCACATTAAGTGAATTATCACAGACACAAAGCTATGAATACCACATGTTCTCACTTGTAAGTGGGCCTTGAACATTAGTCACATTAGCACAAGGGAAAGAATAGCAGTCACAGGGCACTACTAGGAGAGGAAGGGGATGAAGGAGAGTAAAGGGCGTGTAACAACACAAAGTGTACCTGGTGCTACACCAAGGGGAGTGAGGGCCAGTTAGAAGCACAGACTTCATACGCATGCAGCCCATTTATGTAGTTAATTCTCACTTGTACCCCACATTCCCATAATAAAATAAAATAAATAATAAAATAGATTTCAAAATGGAAGTCCAACTAAAGTCAAGTAGGTTGAATAACTGAAAAAAATCCCCAAGCTCGGATTTTATTTCAATAGCTTGCAGAATATGATAACAGCAGAAATAAGGGAACCATAAAAGAACCCTGAGAGACTGAACACATTACTTACAAAATATAGCATCAGACTTCTCATCAGAAACACAAAATAATTCCAAATGATGGAGTAGTACAGGAGACACTGAGGAGGTGATTTAAAAGCTAGCAGCAATACATGACTTGGAGGTTTTTTCTTAGCCTGAGAGTTCATGATTCACAAATCTTACATCAACAAATGGCACTGAATAACACCATTACCTAGACAAAGTAAATTTTATTAAAAGTTTTTTGGTTATGGGTTAGAAAGTACTCGTACTTCCCCAAAATTGCCTTTCCTCAGGCAGTACCCAAGGATATGGGCTGTTTCTCACTTAACAAAATAGTAGTTTTAAAACTATGACAGCACTCAACTCTGTCAAGAAACAACCAAGCTGACAATGCATCTCATTAGTGGGGATATAATATAGAATACTTGCTAGAAAGTCATCCAAGAATGTATTATAAGAGATTTTAAAGTATATGCTATCTGATGCAGTGATCCCCCTTCTGAAAAACTGTCTGTGTAGTATTGAAAAATGTCTGCTACCATTTATGTATTCATCTCTACATTACTTAGATTAACAAAAATATACCAAAATAGCATAAGTAAATTCCCAACAATCAATATGAATTGTCAAGTAAATAATGATGACTGTATCCAATAGCATATTATACAACAAATTAGTAGTCACTATTATAGTAAAAAGTATGTACAAAATGAAAGCCAAAGTCTCAAGCTCTATTAAAAAATGAGAAATGGTTGCTTAGTAGCAAAAATTCTAGGATGTGGCCAAAATGGAATCAAGAGATACATTTATAGACCTGAAAATAATTAAGCATACAATTCAAGTTTAAAGAAAAGTATAATTTACCAAAAAAAATCACTATTATGATTTAGAAAATACAGAAATGGAAAATTAATCCAAGAATCAATTTATTATTATGAAACAACTGCTGACACCTATAATCAAGAAAAAGTAAAGTTACAATTATAAATGAAGAAAGGATTATAATTGCATAAAGGAAATTTAAAAAACAGACTATTAGTCACAACTGTTGAATAACAAATTTTACATGCTCAATCAAAAATTTCTCCTAAAATAAAAACAAATCTTAACATTTAATCAAAGTAGGTAAAATTTTTCGTAGAATAATCAACAAAGCAGAAAACTGAATAGTTTTTTTTTGTTTTGTTTTGTTTTGTTTTGTTTTGTCTTTTTTTGAGTTGGAGTCTCACTCTGTCGCCCAGACTGGAGTGCAGTGGCCGCTCCCGGTCACCGCAGCCTCGACCTGCTGGGCTCCGGCGATCCTTCCGCCTCAGCCTTCCATGTAGCTGGAACTACAGGCGCATGCTACCACGCCCGGCTGATTTTTTGATTTATTGTAGAGATGAGGTCTCGCCTGCCCAGGCGGGTCTCGAACCCACGGGCTCAGGCAATCCACTCACCTCAGCCTCCCAAAGGCGCAGGATTACAGGCTGAGCCACCGAGCCCGGCTTCTGAATAGTTTTAACAGAATAATTCTCTAAAACATTATCTAGAGACAGATAATTTTATAATGAAAATGTAAATTTTTAGGGTATCTGCTACATTAATTTTCCTAGAGAAGGGACAAAGATGAAATATTAGCCAATTCATTCCAGGATGCTGAAATTGTCCTATTAATTTAAAAAAACTCAAAAAGATACCATATAGAAAAACTATAGACTTAGTTTAACCTAACTTACTTTTTTTTTTTTTTTTGAGTTGGTGTCTCACTCTGTTGCCCAGACTGGAGTGAGTGCAGTGGCTGCTCCCAGTCACCGCAGCCTCAACCTGCTGGGCTCCTGCAATCCTTCCGCCTCAGCCTTCCAAGTAGCTGGAACTACAGGTGAGCGCTACCACACCCGGCTAATTTTTTGATTTATTGTAGAGATGAGGTCTCGCCAAGTAGTCCAGGCGGGTCTCGAGCCCGCGGGCTCAGGCAATCCACTCACCTCAGCCTCCCAAGGTGTGGGATTACAGGCTCAGCCACCGAGCTCGGCTAACCTAACTTACTTTTGAATACAATGCAGAAATTCTAAATGTAGCCCAGTACCTTTTGAGAAAACAGGTAGAAAAGCTGTGAGAACCCACTACAACAACAACATTATAAAAAGTGAGGGCCTAAACTGTTTAAATTAGCAACAGAATTAAGTGACTGAACATAACCAAAGCAGTTTAAATATTTTAAACATGCTGAGTAATAAAACAATATATGAAAGATGAGAGGTAAATGTAATGTCAAAGAAGAGATCATATCAAAGAAAAGTGAGCCCTCTCTGTTCCATTATCTGTCTATCTAACCATAATATACATCTAGGGCTGATAGTCTATTTGCACAGAAATGTATAGTTCCCAAACTTTTCAGGTTTAAAACAGTTTTCCTACGCATGGTTTGCCATTTCTTATTTCACAGACGAGGAAACTGAGGTACAGAGATTTTCAGTACTTGCCTAACACCATCAGGTGTTTAGAAGAAGTTTTAAAGGACATGTATACTAAAAATTTTATATTTACATCTTTTTACTGTTCTTAATAAACCCCTCATAATTTAGCAGTTTAAAATAAATTACTTAATGTCATGTTTCCCTTAGACTGATCCAAATAAATATAATTTATGATGTGATACAAAGCCAGGAATTTAGAGAAGTATGTAACTGTCACCTTCTTATAGTCTCCGGAATAGAAAGAGAATGAGGTCCTTCAGGCCAACCAAAGAGACTGAACCAGGTCTGAGCTGCATTTACAACCTTCTGAAAGAAGTTGTATGCCTCTGTTCCTTCTTCAGGAGAAAATAATTGTTCATTTTTCTCCTCCTTTTCTGTAGACCCATCATTTTCCATTGATGTTTCACTTTCATCCAAGTGCAAATTTTCAAATATTATTTCCATTCCTAAAATTCACATTTGTTTGTTAAAAAGGGTTACTTCACCACTTAGTAAAATATTCTGTCAGTTCTTATCATTTGTATGTAGACAAATAAACCCATTCTACAAATTATTTTATGCTCTCAAAGAAGCTTTAAGTAAATTTAATGTATCTTAAAATAAACAATGAAAATATATTTATTTTCAAATACCCAACAGAAATGTTTTAAAAACAGATGAATTTCAACAAATAAATGGTTACATTTTATTCTTGCCATATTGGTTTGAAAAAGCATCCACAGAAGTGGAATCTTTCATTTTTAATTACATAAGTAAAATGTATTGACAATTCTTCAGCATCACTTATTAGATAAAATTAAACCTCAGCTGAAAAAAATATAGAAACAAAATATGATTTTACATCCAAAATAACTTTCTATCCACATCAAGTACTTTAATAAAATCCAAAATTCTTGACTAAGAACATATTCAAGATTATAAAATGATTTTATCTTCCTCCCAAAAAACAAAATATGCCTGTATAATGGCACAAACACATACTCACCAAAAATCTCACAAAATTTAATTTGGTTTAGTCTATTCAATAAAAAGGAAAATGTTCAATATTACTCATATCCACAGATAGGAATATCTAAACAATAGATTGCAAATAATAGAATGAAACTCCCATTTGTCTGTGCTCACTTCTTTCTAATATAGGAAACTGTGGTTAAAGCTAGGTAGTGAGCAGACAAGCTCTTAGTTCTGGAATTGCCAAAGTGTGGACAGAGAGCATTGGGAAGTCACAGGAGCATCACAGTAAATTTAACATTTTAGTTAAATATAACCACAACAACTGTTGAATAACACATAAGCACTACACTTAGATTATTGTACCAATGCACTAAATAAATGGAGCTATATGGTACATATCTTGGCCTAGGAAAAAATACTTACTGAGACACTAAGGGTGCTGTGAACCAAGAACATTCAAGAACCTCTGCTATTGAACACTGATAAGAACTCTCAAAACAGATGACCCACTTAAGACTAATAATTCAAGATCTTCTTAATGAATTTCTTGCTACCTGAAAAAGTCTAACTTTTAAATTAAATGACATCATGCATATTATGGCATGGACTATGTTTAGGAGATATACTATATATTTGCCACATACCAATATATAAGTTTCCCCTTTCAGATTCAGCATCATTAAATTTAGTAGCAGTGGATGTCTTTTTAATTGAAGGAGGAGAAGGTGATTTAGCATCCTGGTAGGGAAGCAAAACGCTGTCTCTTGTCTTCACAGGACTTCCATCCTTATCTACAAATGACAGGTCGGGTCATAGTAAGTCAAAGAAGCACTTAAAGGTTTCACTATCACATTATTTCACCACAATCAATCAACCAACCAACCAATTATTCAATCAACTAATAAATCAATCTATCTATAACAAAGTAAGAGAGTCTAAACATCTATTATACACACAAGTAACATGTCAAAGAAGAAGAAAAAACATAAAAGATAATATGGTTTTCTAAATTGAATAAATTTACTTGGCAAGGCAATTGCTATACTATATCAAAGTTATTGGACAATGAACAATGCTCAACTTTAGCATAAACAAGAATATGTAAAACATTTTAAATGTTTCTACACCAAAAATTGGACTTATTATAAGTGATATTCAATATAAGATATTCAAAAAAGAGTCACCAACAAAAGTAATTTCTTCCTAGTTAATTCTCCATAATAATATCCCAGCTTGGCTATGATCTGATGCCAATTTTGCACAGATTCCAATTTCTATTCCAGTTAGAGTTGCTGTATATACATTAGAGTTTGCCACAGTGTGAACCAGAGCCCAACCAGAGGTAATACTGACCAGGCAAACAAGTAGATGTGACCTATGGGTAGGCATCAAAGCATGTAACTTACATATATTCATTCTGTAATTCTGTCAGGAAAGCACAGCCTGTGCAGTTAGAAAAATCTGATTTGAAAGTTTGGAACCACTACTCCCGACAAGTTAAAGTGTGGGTTTGTTATACAAATTCTTTGAAAAAGGTGTGTTCACAGCCATAAAGAAGGACAAACATATGGACTTCGCAGCAACTTTGATGGATTTAGAATCTATAATACTCGGTGATCTATCACAGAAACAAAGATCTGAGTATCACATGTCCTCACTCATAAGCAGACCCTGAACATTTACCATACTACTATAAGAAAGGGATTGGCAGTAGCAGGATACTGCTGGGGGGAGGTGGGGGAAGGGACATAACATCAATAAGGGTACCTGATCTCAAACCAGGTGAAGTGGAGACCAATAAGGGTACCTGATCTCAACTCAGGTGAAGTGGAGACCAAAGGGAGGCCCAAACTTTACCTGTACAATGACCACTTGTATACCTATTCCTGAACTGTACCTCACAGCTTTAAAATAAATAGGAAAAATGCGTTTACTCCTAAAATGAAACCAAAGTCTCTGAGCTCTGGAATTACAGGTTAAGCCACCGAGCCCAGCTGAAAGCAGGATTTTTTGAGGACAGAAAAGTTCCCACAATGGGAGGGGACCCAAGGAGGTTGCCCAACATTTGCTAATTTTAAATTCACTTTATTTCTAGATATTGGCTTTAAATAACAAGAACCTACATAGTGAGAGTTAGAGAGAAATCAGTCATATATAGCTTACCATTCTTTAAAATAATTTTTTGCTTATCCAGATGAATTGCCATATATGGATAAATAGTAAGAATGCAGTTTTCTGCTGTTGCAGTAACTGGAAGTGAAAACCTAAAAGTGAAAATATTGTATTTTAATAAAATAAAATTTTCAGATGCAGTAAATGCAATGAAATTTAAGTATCCCAGACGCCTTTAATGATGAAGACATGAATTATTCATCATGATTCTTTCTACTTCTTTTTGTTAACCACCTACTCTATCTATCTTAATGGCTTTAAAATATTTACTTTTATAGATTTTAACAGAGGCTGTACATTTCACTGCCAAGCGTGCTATAGAAAACAACTTGTAACTGTTTAAAAATACAGATTTGGGAAATTTTAGAGTTGAAGGGATCTCATAGTCAATTTATTTACATTCTCTTATAGAACCCCTAACAAATGATATCTAGCCTTGGATGACTCTAGGGAGACACTACCGGGGTGACACTCTCAGCACAGAAACAGTCCATTTCATATCTGGAAAACTGTAACTTCAGAAATTCTGTTTTAATTTTTAGAACAAAATCTACAATCTGAATCCCAATATAGTCCTTCAGATATTTAAATATAGCCTTTATATTTTCTCTAAGTTTTCTCTTTCTTAAATTTCAACTAGTTAGAATATTAAAAGATTCTTTCTACTGCAAGTTCTCCAAATTTTTTATATACTAGTCTAATTTCTTTAGATAACCTTTTGTTTTGTATTTGTCCTTCTTTACATGTGACTGAGAATTGAAAGTAATACAGCAAAAGCTATTCAAGCAGTACAAAGTACTATTGCCTTCTGTAACCTACATACCCTATTTTATGGAAGTATTGTGAAATTTTCTTATTGTTTTTTACCAACCATAAAACACTCTTAAACTCTATTGGGTCTGCCTACCTTATCTAACAACTCTATTCTTGGGTAATTGATTTTTAAAATAGTGCTACAGTTTATATCTATACCAATGTAATATCGCCTTATTAGTTTCAGCTCTGCATCATAGTATATCAAGAAAATTTCACTGTTAAATTAGCCATCTATCATATTAGCCTTTTCATCTAGTTTATGGTCACTGGCCAAGGTTAAATGCCAAAATCCCATGTTATAATCCAACTAACTGTAAGTAAAATATAGAATGAGATGAAGCTAAGAAAACGTTCATAGCTGACATACAAGGAATCATCAGGTACTTTAAAGGCAAGCATATGTTACATGAAATGGAATGACTGCCACCTCAGTTCTGCATATATTTTTTAATAAGGCGTGTATTCCCTTTTTTCTTTCAATTGATATTTATTAAAATTTTATGCAAAATACACATACTCAACATTATGTTGTTTAACAACCCCTAATCATTCTGTTTTTATAGATCCTAAGCACATACATCAGGTTGCCTTGTTTGAATTAAATTTTTTATTTATATGTAATTTTTTCCATATGATGTCCTTCTTAAAATGAAACTTAAATTTCCTTGGTAGCATAAATCAGTACTTATATATATTGTGTATTTATGCTAAACATAGTGATCAATCAAAGTTTCATTAACTGACCAGTTATATTTAATCAATAATATTTTAGATTAAATAACATAATTTACCCACAGACACCATCATTGCAATCATAGAAGCAAACATGTTATTTTTGTTTTAAAAGTGCTTATAGAAAGAAAGAGAATGAAAGAGTACTCTAGCAAATGTTGTAGAATCTCTGCCCTCCTGCCCTATCTACTGTGATGTCATACACTTTTGTTGTGTTCCTATCCTCTGGGTATTCTGAGGTACCTGTAATCTGCTTCAGAGAACTATCCTTGGGCTACATGAGCTGCTCAAAGCCAGAAGGACCTGGGAGTTTATGTCCCATAGGTTTATGTCTCCCACAGAGTTTATGCCCCTATAGAGTTTATGTCCCCCATAGCCAATATCTGTGTGGTGTGGAAGTTTCAAAGTCCAGCTCCCTTGCCTCAATCAGAACAAAAACTGCAGTGTCATTTCAGTTCTGGAAAACCCTATGGAGTTAGGCTAAGAAGGAGACTTTGACTTAAATGTTGGATTGATTTGGGGTGATTGATACCCTGTTCTGCTTCCTCTATTCCCTTACTTGTTTTTTCCTGGGAAAATTTCTTTAATAAATCACATATCTTTGAATCCTCATGTAAAAGTCAGCTTGTGGACAATGCTACTTAAGATAACCATGAAATGAACAACAAAAAAATACTATCATTTGAAATATTTCCAAAATGATAAGAAACTCATGAAAATAAGAATGAAAATAACTGTTATTCCAAGAATGAAATGGAAATAAATACGCTAATACTGTTTTTCTTTTGGAAAACAAGTTTGTTGAAGGTGATAACATTTAATTTCATGTTTCTTCGGGTAAAGAATAACAAACATGCATAAAATTGACTTGACCATATTTGTCCATGGAGTCCATAATACAGAAAGTTTACAAGTTATACAGCATGGGAATATGGACACTTCACTCATTTATATTATTAAGAATACATTAAAACAGAAAAGGAACTTGCAGTTGGTAATACTAATATAATAATATACTAAAAGGGACTTGCAGTTGGTAATACTAACATACAGTTTAATAAAAATATTTCTGGGCAGGGAGCAGTGGCTTACATCTGTAATTTCAGCATTTTGGGATGTCAAAGAGGGAGAATTGCCTGAGCCCAGGAGTTCAAGACCAACCTAGGCAACATAGCAAAATGCTATCTCTACAAAAAACTTTAAAAAATAAATTAGCCAGGCATGGTGGCTCATCTGTAGTTCCATCTACTCCGAAGGCTGAGGCAGAAAGATAGGCTGAGCCCAGGAGGTTGAGATTGCAGTGAACCTTGACAGTGCCATTGCACTCCAGCCACGGTGACAAAGTGAGACTCAAACTCAAAAAAAAAAAAAAAATCTGGAAAATAGAGCAATTTGTGGAACCTTATCAGGGAACAATGGTAATATTTATGGATTCCCTATGCCATTGCCTACAGACAGAAACCATTAGTGGTAGAGAATGTACTCTAAAAATATTCAGGATTACAGTAACAATGATATGAAAAGACACTCTGTCATTGTGGGTTTCAATTCTATTCTGCGATTTAAAAAGCATCCTTCAGCCATGAGTGATTTAAAATGTTTCTACTTGGCTGAAATTAGAATGGACATTCCTAGTATCAACAGAGTTGATGATATGATGTGGATGTTGATGGAAGTGATGGAAACGGACTTGTACTATTTATGACTACGTTTCCCACTATTAGTGATACTGAGTTTGGTCATTTGGTTATGTGATGTTGACCAGATGTCTGCATTTATTTTTATAGCAGCACTTAAAAATAGAATTAACATATCATTAAATTTATATTCTTAATATGTACAATTCAGTGGTTTTTAAAAAATACAGTCACAAAGTTGTACAACCATCACTACTTTTTAATTTTAGAATATTTCATCACCCTTAAATGAAACTCTTTACCCATTAGCATCCATTCCCTATTCACCCCTCCCACTAGCCTCTAGAAACAGCGAATCTACTTTCTATCTGTATGGATTTGACTCTCTTGGATATTTCTCTCTTGGCAATTAATAAGTAATCTGTGGATGAAATGTTTAGACTGTGTATATATCCCATTCCACACCAACCTTTCATTTTTCGATATTAAGTGGCATGATGACCATATATAATTCATTAAATACAGTGTGGAAAGTCTCATCATTTATCTCTCTGGTCATTAGCTGGGGAATAATTAATACTCTAATCACGTATCTTTAATCCTTTCTCCATCATTAGTGAAGATAAGAGACTTTTATGCTTGTCTGCCTAAATTTTTTTAGGGATGAAACTTTGAAGGTTTATGTTAAATCTCCATGATAAATGACTTAGTAATTACAGTATTTTATCACTTTCCAATAGCATATAAAATACTGGGATGTCCTGTCAAAAATATGTCAACACCATGAGAATTATAATGATACTATTTTATATTTATAATCTTTACTAAGGTTCTGCACCTATCTGTATTACTGCAAGGCAGATCCTATATTCTGAAAGCAGTCTTACTGAACATGCTTTTAATTCGCAGAGAGATGGGAAGAATAAGAAGGAGGAAGCCTCCAGGTTTATGGAAATATCCTCTCTAGTCTTACTATGGTTGTCTGGCCAAACCTTTCGCTACAAGGCAGCTAGAAAAAAATTACATGCTGCTAAAATAAACAGTAGTTATGAAAGGTTAAAATAAGAAGTTATTGCTAACACTGCTTTAAATTAGTACTTCATATTGCTGTTTATAAGGTGGAATAAAGTGAGAAACAGGAGGAGGAGAAAAGATGCTGAATCAGCCCTTTGAAAATTCTCTGCATTGTGACCTACTACCACTATGATCACTATCAAAAACAAGTGCTTGTAGTATTCATATGGTATTTAAGTAAAGACTTACAACTAAAGGAATAATTTTGGATGAGTATATTTGCTTCAGGGAACTTTATTACAAAAAAATGAACTTTCTTGAGCAACCTGTCTGATGTTGTTTATCCATACCTATTCACAATATTTCTCAATTTCAATAAGTGCTAGAGAAATATTTCACATGTAACTTTACTCACACACACACACACACAAACACACAAATTCATTGATATATTTTAAAATATTTAATGCTTACTATAGCTAGTACTTTTATGTTAGTTAAATCGATTAGTAGGATAAGGACATTTTAATTTTGGTGCTCTTATGTATATTTATAACAGTAGAGTTCATCCATGATGTTGCCAGATTCAAGAATCTCTGGATCACAAAATACGTCATTTTGTTAGCCAGTAATAAAGTTACAAAGTTTATATTTATTTACTTTTAACAGATCAAAACAGACTCGAAAAATTTCTTGTCTTTCGAACTCAGTCCCAATGTGATAGTCACTTTTTAATTTTCCAATATCCTTATCTGAATGTGTGGGAAAGGAAATAAGATTATAGCTACTTTTCTGGGCATTGCAATAACCCATAATACGCTATCTGAATCCCATCAAGACATTGTTATTTATGAACATTAATAATTCTAGAAAATATGTGCTATGAACTAATT